CATTCAGGTGCGCCTCTGCCGCGTCCCGGGGCCCCGACGGCGCCGCAGCCCTTCCCGCCCGCAGGCAGACGCCCAGGCGGAGTGCTCAGAACCGCCTTTACTGGCCCAAGTCCGCCAGGGTGTGGAAGGCCTCCTCCGCCGTGCGGTACTGGCTCAGCTGGATCTGCACCTCCACCGACAGCGGCTGCGGCCGGTACGAGCTCTCCCAGGCCGGGACCGCCGCCTTGGTCTGCTCTGAGAAAGAGAAAACACTTGTTTGGTTTTGTTGTCGGCCGTGGGGCTTGAACGCGTGGCCTGGCGCTGTCCCTGCGCGCTCAGCTCCAGGCAAGCGCCACTTCCGGTTTTCTGGTGGTTTATTGAAGCATCTCAAGGCCTTTCCTGCCCGGGCTGGCTTTGAACCGCGATCCTCAGAGCTCGGCCACCTGAGTAGCCGGAACAACATTGTGTTTACTGAAAACATTGACAAATGATGGGTGGTCAGTGGTCAGTCTTGCGTATTTGGCAAATATTTTTTCCAAAAGAAGAGGGGGGAGGGATGAAGAAGGGAAGAAAGAAGAAGAAACCCCTGCCCTTGCTGGGAAGACAGCTGACTGAAAGCATTTTGATGAATAAATTGGTAACATTTGCGTTTTCAGGTAGAAATTGGAACTTTGGGGGCAGGGAAGGTAGCTCAGTGGTAGAGCGCTTGCCTTGCATGCATGAGGCCCTGGGTTCGATGCCTCACCACCACATAAACAAAAAGAAAAAAGCCGGAAGTGGCGCTGTGGCTCAAGTGGTAGAGCGCTCCCCTTGAGCTGAAGAGCTGAGGGGCAGGGCCCAGACCCAGAGTTCAGGCCCCACAACCGGACCCCCAAAAAAAGAAATTGGAACTTTGGGGTTGGGAATGTGGCTTAGTGGTAGTGTTTGCCTAGCATGTATGAAGTGCTGGTTCGATTCCCTAGTGCCCATGAACAGAAAAAGCTGGAGGCTGGGTGCCGGTGGCTCACACCTGTAATCCTAGCTACTCAGGAGCTGAGGGAGTGGCACTGTGGCTCAAGGGGTAGGGCCCTAGTCTTGAGCTGAAGAGCTCAGAGTTCAAGCCCCACCCCAGAGTTCAGGCCCCACGACCGGACCAAAAAAAAAAAAAAAAAAATCAGGAGCTGAGATCTGAGGATTGTGGTTCAAAGCCAGCCCAGGCAGGAAAGTCCATGAAACTCTTATCTCCAATAAACCACTAGAAAACCGGAAGTGGCGCTGTGGCTCAAGTGGTAGAGCGCTCGCCTTGAGCTGAAGAGCTGAGGGACAGCGCCCAGGCCCGGAGTTCAGACCCCAGGGCTGGGAGGGTGAGCAGTCACATAGATCACATTTTGTGGCAGCCTGTAATGGAATTGCAGAGGAGAAGAAAGAGCCCTGGGCCCTGCTCTCAGTGCTCCAGTGCAGAGCCTCAGCCAGGGCCTGGGGGGGGGGTGCTGCGGACTCATACCTTTTTTACCAGTTTTCGGTTTCTTGGTCTTCTTTGAATCCTGAAAGAAAGAACCACAGGTGAGATGCTTACTGGGGGAGGGGGGCTCCGAGAAGATCCAGAGGGGGCCGGTGATGGGGAGAGGGGAGGGGAGGGGTGCATCCAGAAGTCCTGCCCTCCCCTCCCCCCGCTCCTGGTCTGGCTGGGCTGAGGCAGAGCAGCAGGCCTCCCCCCCCTACCCTGGCAAGTATCATCCTGTCCACGTCCAGGCTGCGGACCACGCCGAAGTTGCACTCGGTGGACACCAGCGGCTCCCCCATGAGCAGCGGCTCCAGCAGCAGCGGGCCGCGGCCCAGCACCTTGAGGATGGGCGGGTCCTGCCGCAGCTCCTTGGGCAGCAGCTCCTTCTTCTTCTTCTGGAGTCTCTTCTCCTGTGGAGAAGCCGGGAGGGCAGGCGGGGAAGGCGGGCCGGGCCAGGCCGGGGACCTGCCTGGGCAGCCGCGCTCCTACCTTGGGGGCCCCCTCCGCTTTCCCTTTCTTGTCCTTCTCCTTCTTCTTGTCGTCCTCCCCTTTGCCCTTCTTGGGAGGCGCGGAAATCTCAACCAGAGGCACCAGGGGCCAGGAGAGAATCTGGTGACAGCGGGTGGCGGGTGAGGGGAGGAGAGCAGGGGGCAGGGTGGTCCCCGGGCCCAGGCAGGAGCCGCCCGCAGCCCACCTTCTGCTCCACGATGGTCACCGTCGTCCCCGCCAGCAGGAAGGCCTTGACCGGCACCAGGTTCTTGAGCGTGTGCTGCATCTCATACCCAGAGGGGATCACGTCCGCCCAGGGCTTGGGGACCGTGCTGAAGAGGACCGTCCTTGGAAGGCAGAGGCAGACAGAGCACCGTCACCTGCCGGCGACGGGAAGACGGGGCGAAGGCGCAGGGCATGGCGGGGAGCAGCCGCGCACTGCCCACAGCAAGCAGCCTCAAATGCATCAAAGGGTTTTCCTGTTTTGTTTTTTGAAAAAACAACATGGCAGAAACAACTAACAAAAGCCTGGTGCTATAGTCCTGGCTACTGAAGAGGCCGAGAGCTGAGGACTGAGCCAGTCCTGCCAGGCACATCCTTGAGATGAATAATCGTAAAAGCTGGAGAGGACTGAAGTGAGCTCTTCAAGACTGAGCACGAGTGAGAATTTTCAGGCCCAAACTGGAGCAAAGGACAGCAAAGGGCTGTGTAGCGTAGGGCACTCGCTTAGAGGTGCACTACTGGGGTCCAAAGCAGCAAAGGAGCCTGGGATTTGGTGGCCCCTTCAGGCTCGGGTGAAGTCACTTCCAGCGCAGTGGGTGAGAAGCAACATCTCTAGGAAATCTCAGGGAGACCGAACAAAAAACTCAATCCAGGGCCCTCCAGGAAAGGAGAAAGAAAAATCAGCGAAGAGCCAGAGCTCAAAGGGCTGTGGTTCAAGTGGAAGAGCATGAGCTTCCAGTGAAAAAGTCAATGGATGGGGGCTGGGAAGGCGGCTCAGTGGTAGAGCGCTTGCCTCACATGCATGAGGCCCTGGGTTCGATTCCTCGGCACCACAGAAGCAGAAAAAAGCCAGAAGTGGCGCTGTGGCTCAAGTGGTAGAGCGCTTGCTTTGAGCTGAAGAGCTGAAGGACAGCGCCCAGGCCCAGAGTTCAAGCCCCACAACTGACCAAAACAAAAACATTTTTAAAAAAGCAAACCTAGAAATGGTATCATCGGGTCTCTGCACAGAGAAATGGAATGTACTTGGCACTAAGACTGAAGCACATCAGATGTTTGAGGCCAGGTATGGTGGCTCACATCGGTCATCCCGGCTGCCAGGGAGGCCGGTGGGGCTGGGTGGCTGTTTACCCCGGGGATGGGCAGAGCCGGAGGTCGATGCGCGGCCGGAGCTTCGCCAGCTCTTCTGCAGATTCTGTGGACTGCTGCAGGCGGGGCGACGGGACGGTGAGCACAGAAGACTCGGACTGGCCCTGCTCCGTGGCCCCCGACTCCACGGACTCCTCGGCCGCCTCTTCAGGGACCGCCTGGGCCCCCTGCTGCGTGGGCGGGGTGAGCTCCTTGGTGATGCTCCTGGCGGCCTCCCTGGGGGGCCCCTTGGGGACCCCGACACTGCTGGACCTCTTGGTGATCTCTTCCTCCTTGCTGGCTTCCTCGGAGGATTGCTCGTGGCTCTCCTCTTCCGGCAGCTCCTGGCTGGAGGACGGATTGGCCATCTGCCAGGAGAGACCACGCGCTGCGGGCCGGGCCAGCCACGGCCCCGCGGCCGATGCCTGTTTCTTTTGTGGTGGGGTGGAAGCCAGGCTGACACTAAGTGAGCACGCTCCCCTGCGCACCCTGTGACTTTACAGTGGGACTGAAGCAAAGACGGCCAGGTTACCGGTAAACACAAGGCCGGCCTCCACGTGACCGGGAAGGGGCCATTTGTCCCTGGGCCCTGGGCCTTCCCGGGGCGCGGCGGGGGGGGGGGCGGCGGGGGTATAGTGGAATGGTGCAGCAGCAGCTGCTGAGGCAGGGACGCCACCGCCGGGGGCAGCGGCCGCACCTGCGACAGCGCCTGGCTGGACGGCTTCTCCTCCCCCTCCACCTCGTCCTCCACGAAGTCGTAGGTCACGTAGTAGTTGTAGGAAATGAACGGGCCCTCGGGGCCTGGCTCAGGGTCCAAGATGGAGGAATCCACCACGCCCCTGATGTTCCCAATGGTCACCAGAAACTGTGCTTCATGTGCCAAGAGGTCTGCCAGGGGGCAGGCGGCAGGGGTGAGGGACAGAGGATGGCAGGCAGGCAGGCAGACACACAGACAGACAGACAGCCTGGGGACTGGAGGGGGGGAGGAGCCGGCCCCCAGCCAGGTCACTGTCAATGGGAGCCCGCCCTGATGGCCCGGGCTTGGTGGGGGGAGGGGGGAGTGAAGGCCCTGTCTCACCCCACGCATGAGCCACAAGGGGGCGCTCTCAAGCCACCCTGGTCATGAATGAAACAACGGGGGCCCAGAGGTCAACCTCCGGAGAAAATCCTGTCCCAGCCCTCGCCTGCAACAGCAGACAGAGCTCAAGCTGGTGCTGAGGGTCTGGGGTGCGGAGCAGCGGCACCCCCCTTGCTTCCCCCCAGACCCACCGGCGCTGCGGCTGAGCCCCCGGAAATGGTGCCTCTCGTTGGGGGACACGGTGATGTCGTCCAGCACACAGAGGTGGGCCAGGCTGTCCACCGTGAGGCCGCGGTAGTAGGGCACCAGCGCCAGCGGGTTTCCTTGTAGCACCAGCAGCCGCAGGCTCTGGAGGGTGGACAGGCTGGCCACCATGCTCTGCAGGTCCGTCAGGTCGTTGAAGCCCAGGTCCAGGGAGACGAGGTTGGGCCTGAAAGGGAGGCCCCGCGGGGTGAGCAGGGGAGGCGCCCAGAGCCTGCATGTGAGAGGCCCGTGGCCCGAGGCTCGGCCTGCCTGCCTCCATTCACACCAGCTGTTCCTCTTGGGGCAAGGCCATTTCCTGTCAGGCCTGCGGAGGCTGGGGACGTGGGAGGCCTGCGAGAGGCTCTGGGGCCCCGGGGTGTCATCCTCCTGGCCAGGACCACACGAAGCCACGCGGGCGCGCGGCTCACTTCCCGGGCTGGGGTGAAGGCGCGTGAGCAGGAGCGCAGCAAAGTGCGCCAAGACGCGACTCCTGGGCACAGGCCTCACCTGGCCCCTCGGGGCCTCGGCGCCATCCGGGGACATTTTGATCATCCCCAGAGAGGTGGGGAAGGGGGAGCAGCCCCTGGCAGCAAGTGGGGTTTCCGATTGAGAACCCAATCTAGAGAGCCACGGCCTCTTGAAGCCCAGAACCCCAGTCTCCAGAGGAGGGGCGCAGCCCACCGCCCTTCCCTCCCCTCCTTCCGGCCGCAGGCACCAGTGTTGAGATGTGACGAAGAGACTTTCCAAGGGGCCCAGGAGCTTGTTGTGGCCGAGCCCCAGGTGCTGCAGCCGGGGCGGAGGGCAGGTGCACAGGCACACCATGCTGCTGATCGAGTTACCGTACAGCTCCAGCACCTGCAGGTGAAGAGGGAGCATGTGGGTGAGGCCAGGCCTCCCAGCCTCCGTCCTGGGAAACTCAGAAAGACGAGGGCTGAGTCCGTTCCCCTCTCTCTCTGTCTCTCCTCTCTCTCCTCTCTTTCCTCTCCTTTCTCTCTCTCTCTCTCTCTCTCTCTCTCTCTGTCCTGGAGCTTGAACTGAAGGCCTAGGCACTGTCCCTGAGCTTTTGTGCTCAAGGCTAGCACTCTACCAGTTGAACCACAGCTTCACTTCTAGCTTTTTAGTGCTTACTTGGAGATGAGTCTCACCAGTCTTCTGCTCTGCTAGTGGGTTAGTCATTCTCAGTGTTTAACTCGAAGTCTGGGCCTTTTGGATACAATGAGCTAAAGACTCATGATAAAGCCTGGCCTATCTTTTTCTTTTTTCTTTTTTTCCAGTCGTGGGGCTTGAACTCTGGCCTGGGCGCTGTCCCTCAGCTCTTCAGCTCAACGCAGCACTCTACACTTGATCCACAGCACCACTTCCAGTTTCCTGGCAGCTCATTGCAGATAAGAGTTTTGCAGATTTTCCTGCCCGGGCTGGCTTTGAACCGCGATCCTCAGATCTCAACCTCCTGAGCAGCTAGGATTTACAGGTGTGAGCCACCCAGTGCCTGACTCCTTTTTTTTTCTTAGCTGATCCTAGAACTTGAACTCAGGGTCTGGACACTGTCCTTAAGCTTCTCTTGCTCAAGGCCAGTGCTCTACCGCTTGAGCCGCAGCACCACTTCCAGCTTTTTCTGAGTAGTTTATTGGAGAATCTCACAGACTTTCCTGCCCTGGTTGGCTTCAGACAGGGATGCTCAGATCTCAGCCTCCTGACTAGCTAGTAATACAGGTGTGAGCCACCAGTACCTAGCTTCAGCTTATATTTATGTTTAACTGTGTGGGGGGGGGGGCGGGGGGAGTACTGGGGTTTACACTCAGGGCTTCATACTTGCTGTGCACTTTACCATTCGAGCCACACCTTTAGTCCTTTTAACTTTGAGGGGAACACGGCCTAAGGCTGGTTCTTCTTTAGCACAGGCCACTCCAGCAAACCAGCGTAGGTGCAGGCTTTCTGGGTGCCCTGCTCAAAGGCCCCTCTGGAACTGGAGCTCTGTACCTTGAGTGTAGGGGGCAGATTCGAGGCATCGACTTCCTTGATTTCATTGGCACTCAGTACCAGCTCCTCGAGCTTGAGAAACTTCAGGAGGTCTCTGTCCACCAGGCTCACCTGGAAGGAAGGAAGGGATCCGATCCCAGCCTCCCCCAGCCGCCAGCCTCCCCTGCTCTGCAGCTCTGCAGGGTGGAAGGCCTCCACACACAGCCCTCCCCCTGCCGAGAACGTGTGCGGGACCTCGAGGCTGGGGCTCCGGGCGGAAGCCCTGATTCCCTGTGGCCACCAGGACATCTGGGCCTTCCCGGCTGGGCTTTCTCGACCTACAGTGACCAGCCTGCCGCATCCTCAGGGGTGTCCTGAGACACAGATTTTCACGGTCACTAGGGGACAGCCCAGAGCCAAGCCACCCTCCCCTTCCTCTAGATCATTTCCTGGGTTCTGGGGGGAAAAGAGCAAAGAGCAGGAAGGCTGAGGCCAAGTTTCTATGCAACTTTGGAGTCCTGTTATTTTTGATCTAGCAAAGAAGGCTTTTTTGTTTTTGTTTTTTTGGTTGGTTGTGGGGTTTGAACTCTGGGCCTGGGCGCTGTCCCTCAGCTCTTCAGCTCAAGGCTAGTGCTCTACCACTTGAGCCACAGCGCCATTTCCGGCTTTTTCTGCTTATGTGGTGCTGAGGAATCGAACCCAGGGACTCATGCATGCAAGGCAAGCACTCTACCACTGAGCCACCTTCCCAGCCCCAAGGCTTTTTTCTTTTTCTTTTTTGTTGGTCGTGGGGCTTGAACTCTGGGCTTGGACGCTACCCTTGTGCTCTTGAGCTCAAGGCGAGCACTCTACCGCTTGAGCCACAGCGCCACTTCTGCTTTTCTAGTGGTTAATTGGAGACAAGAGTCTTACTGACTTTTCTGCCCGGGCTGGCTTTGAACCATGATCCACAGATCTCAGACTCCTGAGTAGCTAGGATTACAGGTGTGAGCCACCGGTGCCCGGCTAGAAGGCTTTTTAGTAACAGAAGTAAACAAAGTTAGCAGGATATAAAACTTCCCCAGCACCTGTTCCCTAGTTAAGGTTAAAAGAAAAAAATCAGTGTGGGCCAGGCGGTGATAGCTCACACACACCTGTAATCCTAGCTACTCCAGAGGCTGAACTCTGAGGATAAGACTTAAAGCCAGCCTCGGCAGGAAAGTCAATGAAACTCTTCTCTCCAATTAACCACCCAAAAGCGGGAGGTGTGGCTCAAGTGGTAGAGCCCAAGCCTTGAGCACAATAGCTCACAGACAGCACGGAGGCCCTGAGCTCAAGTCCCAAGGTGCGACAGGAGTCATCCTCAGAAGGTGAAGGAAAGGGGAAGAAGCGGGGCGAGGATCCTGCCCGCTGGACAAGCGGGTCCGGCCAGTGAGACGGAAGGCAGGAGGGAGCCGGCCTCGGCCTCCGCACCAGCACCCACCTGCTTGTCCACCACCCTCAGGGACCGGAAGTAGGAGTAGAAGAAGGTGTCTTTGAGCTTCAGAGGGCTGCGGATGGCCAGCTCTCTCAGGAAGCGGTCCTCGGCGGAGGAGAAGCCCAGCTGCGTCCCGTGGGCCCAGGGCGAGTGGGGGCTGCGCACCAGGCCCAGCAGGGCCTCCACCGTCTCCTCCTCCGGGCTCACCGCCTCCTCTTCCGTGGGGACCAGCTCCCGCCAGGTCCGCCAGCTTTTAGGGAGAAAGCGAGACTTATTCTGCCAACGGGAAGAGGAGATTTTTCTTAAACGATCCCAAACCATGAAGTTAAACGCACGGGCGGCTGGACAGGCGGGGGGGCGCTGAGGAATGCCGCCATCGGCCTCACACCGGCGACTGCCCGGGAGGCGTGGAGAGAAGGACGGGGAGGGAAGGGGAACACGCGCGGGGGCCGGAGGCCCCTTCCCTGCCGCGTCCTCCGAAGGAAGCCGCCAGCCCGGCTTCAGATCCTGCCCACAGCCGTCCCCGAGCGCGGCTGGGAGCCCGCGCCACACCGCGGCCCTGAGGTCGGGGTGCGGGGCCTCCGGGCTGAGCGCCAGGCCGGGTCGGGCCAGCTCCGCGGTGCGGCCGGCTTGGCAGGGCCCGCGCCGGGCGACGCCCTGGGGGCGCGGGCCTCGGCCGGCCCTGACCCCGTGCGCGGCCTCCACCTCCTTCCAGGACTCAGGCTGGCCAACCCCGAGCCTGGCGCGTCACCCCTCGGCTCCCAGGATGCGCCCCAAAGACCTCGGGCCCCCAGCCAGGCTCCCCGCCTCCCCCTCCCGCCAGGCCGGCCCCGGGCGCCCGCACCCAGCTGCCCGTGCCGCACGGGAACTCGCTCAGACACAGCTGCCGCAGGTGCTCGCGCACGAACGCGCTCACGGTCCCGGGCGCGCCCTCGCCGCCTCGCCTGCTGAGGCCGGAAGAGCTGGACGACGCCATGCCGCGGGCCTCAGCGTCCGCTGCCAGGCAACCGACGGACGCGCGCTCAGCCCCGCTGCCAGGCAACCGACGGACGCGCGCTCAGCCCCGCTGCCAGGCAACCACAGGACGCGCACGCGCACAGCCCCGCTGCCAGGCAACCGACGGGCGCGCGCACAGCCCCGCTGCCAGGCAACCGACGGGCGCGCGCTCAGCGCCGCTGCCAGGCAACCGACGGGCGCGCGCTCAGCCCCGCTGCCAGGCAACCACAGAACGCGCACGCGCACAGCCGGGCGCGCGCTCAGCGTCTGCTGCCAGGCAACCACAGGACGCGCACGCGCACAGCCCTGCTACCAGGCAACCGACGGATGCGCGCTCAGCCCCGCTGCTAGGCAACCACGGGAGAGCGCGCTCAGCGCCGGCTTCTAGGCAACCGGCGAGTGCGCACGCGCGGAGCCCGCTGCTAGGCAACCACGGGACGCGCCGGGCTGGGCGCGTGCCCGAGCGCGGGAGTGCACGCTCCTCCCCACGTGGGCCGGCGCCCCGCGCCGGATCAGGCTCAGAGCCCGAGCTCGGCGCCCAAACCCGCGGGTCTGCCGGGACCCGGTCCGCTGGCAATCCGCGGCTCTGGCGGGGGACCTGCTCCGGTTCCCGCGCCGCGGCGCTCCGTGCCAAGCGCTGCCTGTTGGCAGGTCTGGAAAGGAGAAATGACCCCAAGGCCAGGCGTCTCCAGCCTCCGGGGCCCGCAGCGTCCACCTCGGAGGATGTTCGTTAAGACGTTGCTCCGAGCCCGGCGCGCCGGCGGCTCACGCCAGCTGCTCGGGAGGCTGCGATCTGAGGATCACGGTTCAAAGCCAGCCCGGGCAGGAAAGTCCGCGAGACTCTCATCTCCAATAAACCACCGGAGAACCGGAAGTGGCGCTGTGGCTCCAGCGGCAGAGCGCTGGCCTTGAGCTGAAGGGCGCAGGGACAGCGCCCAGGCCCCGAGCTCAGGCCCCACGGCCGGACCCAAAAAAAAAAAAGTTTTCCTGTGAACCTACACTGCGCTGTTTCTTTCTGTTGGTTCCCTCCCTCCTTCCCTTTTGTTACTGGAATTTGAACTCAGAGCCTGGCTAGCCTGGGCACACTTCTTTTGAATAGATAATATTTTAAATAGCTAACGTTTAGCCAGGTGCCGCTGGCTCACAACCTGTCATCCGAGCTACTCAGGAGCCTGAGATCTGAGGACCTCCGTTCAAAGCCAGTCTGGGTAGAAAACTCAGTGAGACTCTTACTTCCAATAAACCATTCAAAACTACTGAAAGCTGGAGGTGGCTCTGTGGTTCAAGTGGTAGAGAGCTGGCTTTGAGCACAGAGGCTGAGGGACAGTGCCCAGGACCAGCAAAAAAAAGAAGATAGTTAAATGTTTGGCCCTTTGGTAAGTATTTAATATTTGAAGAAATCACTAGGCTGTTTCCACACTGGTGGCACTGACAATGTTCATTTGGGAAGTGTGTCCATGTTCCGGTGTCTCCACGCTCCCAACAGTTCATACTAATAACACCATCACAGATGCGACTAGACCCTCACTGTGGTTTTGGTTACATTTTTCAAATACCCAACTAGTACTAAAGAGAGTGAGCATCTTTTTATGTAGCTTTTCTTGCTCATTTTAAAATTGGTTATTTGGGGCCCCATGACTGACCAAAAAAAAAAAAAAAGAAAAAAGAAATTCGTTATTTGTCCTTTATTGAGCCGTAAGAGTTCTTTATATGTTCAGATACTACCCTAGATAAGATTGGACAGTTGGGGGCTGGGAAGGTGGCTCAGTGGTAGAGCGCTTGCCTACCATGCATGAAGCACTGGGTTCAATTCCTCGGTGCCACATACACAGAAAAAGCCAGAAGTGGCGCTGTGGCTCAAGTAGTAAAGTGCTAGCCTTGAGCAAAAGAAGCTCAGGGACAGTGCCCAGCCCTGGGTTCAAGCCCCAGGACTGGAGGAAAAAAGAAAAAGAGAGTGGACAGTTGGGAATTTTCTCTCCCATTCTGTGGGATTCAGCCCGGCCCGGGCTTCGGGGCGAGGCCGCATTGAGCCGCACTCCAACCCCCACCTTTATCTTCTTTTTGAAAAACGTTGTTTGTACTTTTGTCATTTCTAAGAAAACCGTGGCTTACTTCACAAGCCGGGCCCGGGGCATTCCTTGCCCATTCTGCTCACCAGATTTGTGTCAGATTTCTGGCTTGAGAATCTCCCCAGCCCAGGCTTATCTGCTCATGCTCTTATCGGCGCCGGCAGCCCCCTCTCCTCCGGCCATTTCCCTCTTCCTCGTCCTCACCTCCTCAAGGTTTCCTCATTGCTAGACCCACACCACCCCAAGAACTTGTTCCACGTTCCCCTAGAAAGTTCTATGACCTCATGAGCGCAAACCCCATCGGTGCTCTCCACCCTTATCTTCTTGAACTCTGTGTGGCTCACAGCCATGTCAACCATTTCCTCTAGCCTGTAAAACCACTTCCAATCCGGTTCAAGGGCCACCTGCTTTCCTGGTACTTGGCTGGCCTCCTTGAATTTGCCCCCCAGGATTGGAGGCAGATCTTGCGGTTCCATCCGCGAGGGGAGTCCCAGGGCTCGACCCGGCCTCCAGGGCAGCGAGGCTGTGCGCGAGCCTCCGCTCAGCTGCTCAGCTCTCTCAACCGCCGCGTCTCCCAACTCTCCTAATCATGTGGGTGTTGTTTGTTTTTCTGGGGTTTACTGGGGTTTGAACTCAAAGCCTCAAGCATTCTACCAGCTGAGCCGCATCCTTAGTCCCCCTTTTATTTATTGCATCGAATTACTTTTTTTTTACTTTTTTTTTTTTTTTTTTGGTTAGTTGTGGGCTTGAACTCTGGGCCTGGGCGCTGTCCCTGCGCTCTTCAGCTCAAGGCGAGCACTCTACCACTTGAAACACGGTGCCACTTCTGGGTTTATTGGAGATAAGAGTCTCATGTGCTTTCCTGCCTGGGCTGGCTTTGAACTGAGATCCTCAGATCTCAGCCTCCTGAATAGCTAGAATGACAGGTGTGAGCCACCAGCGCCTGTGTATATGGTACTGAGAAATCAAACCCAGGGTTTCATGCATGCTAAGCAAGCACTGTACAACTAATCTGCATTTCCATCCCTTTTTGAGTTACTTTTAAGAAATGTTTTAGCTTAGGGCTGCAATATGGCGTCCTGTGTGGCTGAGATTGCAGGCATAGGCCACCATGCCTGGCCAATCATATAGCTGTTCTTTTGTAGGGTGATTATTGCTAGGTGCTTCTAACATAGTTATTTATGAATGATTTTTTTTTGGGGTCCAGTTGTGGGCCTGAACTCTGGGCCTGGGCGCTGTCCCTCAGCTCTTCAGCTCAAGGCTAGCGCTCTACCACTTGAGCCACAGCGCCACTTCCCGCTTTTTTCTTTTTGCTTATGTGGTGCTGAGGAATCGAACCCAGGGCCTCATGCATTGCAAGGCAAGCGCTCTACCACTGAGCCACCTTCCCAGCCCCTTATGAATGATTTTTATCACTGCCATTTGACCAGTAGAGCAGCAAATCCTTTGGCCAGCAGCCTTGCCTAAATTTGCTGCCACTTCTGAGATTCTGTAAGAGGACCTCATCAAAATGGGCACTTAAAACAGGAATAAATTAGCCTGGTGAGGTAGTGCCCACCTGTGATCTCAGCTACTCATTGTGCGAAAGGGTTGAGAGTTTGAAGCCAGCCTGGGCAGACTTACGAAGACCCTTCCTCAAAAACATAATGTAAGCCAGGTGCTGGTGGCTCACACCTGAAATCCTAGCTATTCAGGAGGCTGACATCTGAGGATCACGGTTCAAAGCCAGCCTGGGCTGGAAAGTCTGTGAGACTTTTATCTCCAATTAACCACCAGAAAACCAGAAGTGGCACTGTGGCTCAAGTGGTAGAGCGCTAGCCTTGAGCTAAAGAGCTGAGGGACAGCGCCCAGACCCAAAGTTCAGGCCCCACGACCCACTGAAAAAAATTTTTTTACATTAAAAAAAAATGTGTGTGTAGATTAGATGGATGGGTAGATAGATAGATAGATAGATAGATAGATAGATAGATAGATGACAGATGGGCTAGGGGTTGAAGCTCCAGGGACAGAGTGCCCGCCTATCACAGGAGAGGTCCTGAGTTCAAAACCCCAGATGACAAGAAAGTAAATAGGAATAAATTACTTGAATGGTTCTTCTGAGGGGCTGTGGGCGTGGGCAAATGTCTCCCACTGACCTGTATCTCAAGCCCGATGACAAACAACTGTTTGTAGTTAATTTTTCCATTTGGAGGCAGGGATTCATCTCTAGTTCAAGCTCGCTTTGAATTCATGATCCTCCTGCCCTGTCTCCTGAGCATGGGCACGACAGGAGTTTGTGATCATACTGGGCTCACGTTCCTGGTTCTGGGGGCTGGGGCCCCAAAAGCCTCGCACAGGACCCAGTGATGCTCAAGGCCATGCGGAGCAGCCCCCAGGGCCTTTGCATCGCCCTGTTCAGCGGCCAGCAGAGCATCCTTGCTCACTTCAGAAACTCCCAGAGCTAACCTACCTGCCAGCCTCCCGCCAGACCTTCCAGAGCTGCTCTGTGCCTCCGCCCACCGGGCAGGACTCCCCAGAAACTCCTGGGGGGCACCCCCTTCCCCTCCTGCCATTCACTTGCTCCTTTCTACGCTGGCCTTCACATTTTCCTCTGGGGAAATCAACGAGCTCTTTCCAAGAAGACACGCTCAAGATGCACATGCCTTCCTGGGCCATGTGTGTGCGCACGCGTGAGTGTGCGTGTGTGAGAGAGAGGGAGACAGAGAGAGAGGTTGAGTCAGGCCTCTGCCCGCCTTGAGGGTAACCTCAGCGTTTCCTTCCAGCCCCGCTTTCACCCAGCGTCAGTTTGGCAATTTTTTCAAAGAATTTTCTTGAGAAAAGCTGAGCAATGGCTTTGCCGTGGGCGGGCCCGCGCCCCTCTTCCTCCCGCTGATCCTTTATAAAGCCCGGCCCCGCGGCCATGGCCACCACA